ACTGATTAAACGAGGGAGCTCGTTATTAACGTGTCCCTCCCCCTGAACACGCGTTTACCAACCATCCTAACCAAAATCACAGGACTAACTAGAAACACCGCCGGCTTCTTGCCCCGTCGCTCGATTATTGGAACCGTTGACGCGGGGAGTCGCGCGTCGCGACGCTCGCGATCAGCAGATGGACGAGAGGAGATGGGTGGTCTTGCTGGAGAATTTGGGGGGAACGTGCGGGGTAGGACTGGTGGGAGTAGGGCAGAATGTGCGGATGCGGGGCGATGTCGAAGGGACGCGTCGCGGCAACGGCGGCGACGGCGGCGGCACCGGAAGCGGGGACGGTACCAACGTTGTCGTCGCCAGTCCGTTCGCGCGATCGGCGACGACGACAACGTGGATACCACGTGGATTAGCGGAGCGTCCCCTACGGTGATCGTCGTCATCATCGTTGTCGTCGTCGTCGTCGTCATTGATGACGGTGGCGGCATAGCGGCGGCGGCGGTGGCGGCGGCGGTCTTTGCTGCTGAGGCTAAGGCGAACTCAATGATGCGGCGGTGGCGGCGGCGGAGCCTCTTCCTCGGAGGGGTCCACGGGGCTCGGGGACAGGAACTTGCGCACATACTTCGGGTAATGTGTCTTTTCGTGGGCCTTGAGTATCGTCGACCTCGAGAAGGTCTTGCCGCATAGCGTACACCGGAATGGCCGTTCGCCGGTGTGCACGCGACAGTGGTCCTTCATATGATGGCGCAGTTTGAACGCCTTACCGCAGAATTCGCACTTGAACGGCCGATCGCCGGTGTGCGCCGGTAGGTGGGCGATCAGCGAGCCAACGTCCGGGAAGGACTTGCCGCAGAACTTGCAGAGGACGACGCCGGAGGTCGGGTCCGAGTGGGCCGCGAGCTCGAAGTCCATCGGCTCAATCGTACCCGCGGTGGGGTAGTGGGCCTCCGGCGGCAGGTGCATGCCGGGCTCGAGGCCCAGCTGAGCCTGCAGCTGCAGATGGGCCGCCTGCTCGCGGTACTTGAGCGACTCGAGGCTGTGCGAGAGGATGTGCCGCGTCAGCTTGCTCTGGTGGAGGAACGAGGCACCGCAGTACATGCACGCAAACACCCGCTCATCCACACCCATCAACTCCTGCAACCAAACAAACAAGAACATCAACTTCTTGTCTTCCCTCCGGCGCTCTGTACCCCCGCGGGAAAGACTCATCTCCGACTCTCTCTCTTTCTCTTTCTCTCTCTCTCTTTCTCTCTCTCTTTCTCTCTCTCTGTCTCTCTTCTTTCTCTCTTTACTTTAATCTACTTCGAGTTACTGCTCTATTTTTTTCTGGATTCTTTGGCCTAGTCCCGTAAATATCTTGATGGTACGTTAATATTTATTGTACTAACTATACTACCATGTTTTTTGCAATAACGCGTGATAAAACCGTTCCGGCTACTACTTGATCTGCAGGATACACAGATGCACACATATATTACATATATGTATATATGTCTATTATGTAGATTATGTATGTACATATATATATATATAAATATATATATGTAATATATATATATATAAATACACACCGCAACGCGTTTGTTTCAGAAACGGACAAACGCCACGGCTACCTTGAACGGACAAGAAAAAAAAGATATCCTTCGTATCGTGCTCCCTTTTTTCGGTTTCTCTCTCCCTTTGACGACTAATTCTTTCTAATGCATCTAAGTTTTCGGTAAAAAAAAAAGAAATAAAGAAAGTACAGGCAAGCTCGTTCTCTTGACACTACTATAAGCACGTGTTGCGACTAAAGAGGTCCTCTCTCGCTCTCTCTTTCTCTCTCTCTCTCTCTCTCTCTCTCTCTCTCTCTCTTTCTGTCTCTCTATTCTCTCTCTCTCTCTCTCTCTCTCTCTCTCTCTCTCTCTCTCTCTCTCTATCTATCTCTCTATCTTTCTTTCTTTCCTTCAGTGTCTAATTCATAAATTCCATTCATTCGGAGGAGAAAGTGTCTCCGGCGTGGCGAGAAACTAATGCTTCTCGGTAGCACACAAGACGGTATTCACAAGAAGTTGACGCTCATTTTTGTTTGGCGCGCCGCGCACCCCAGGCACATGTATGACAAACTATTCGAGTGTGTTACGATGTATAAATATATATATGTATACAGGGTGTCCTCGAGCTATCGCCATTCCTTCTACATAATGCATTTTTTGACCAATTCGAAAATAGAAATAGAAATAATAATCATAAACAGATGAGTCATATTAATTATTCGTGTAATTGTATTGTAAATAAGAACGAAGAATTTTGAAATAAAGTAAGTTTCAGAAAATAAGTAGCGAGAGATAATTTACTAATTAATTTTAAATGAATTTTGCTAGAATTTTACTGTGAGGCTAACTTACAGAGATATTTAACACTATAAATATACTAAGTTTATTAAATGTGAGACGTGATATAAAATTAACTTTAAGAAAAGATTGATTCTAAATTGGTCAAGAAATCGATAAACAAAACGAGCAGCGATAGTTTCGAGGGAGACATCTTGCATATATATAAATGGATAAATATATATACGTAGATATAATATAGCAACAGATATATATGTATACGGGCTCATGACAACCCCCACAGCCTCGTTCTCAACCCGCCCCTCTCGTCCCTCCTCCCTTTTATCGTACTCGCAGCGTATGTGCCGCGCCGCAAAATTTATTCGCCGTAGCAAAAGGCATTGCACTCAACCAAAACGACAAATTGAAATACAGATATTACAAAGTAACAAATGGTATAATGAATATGTCAACAATCTGCCAATATATGTGTATATATATATATATATGTACATATATATATATATATATATACATATTGTGCGAAAAATATATATGTAAATATATATAAATATTTATACCACAGTGTACAAACGATATGCGATGTATACATAACGTATGTGTATATATATGTATATATATTTATGTATATATATATATAAATGTAGTAAAAAAACAATCATGGCCAAAAACGAAGGTCAACTTCTTGACAGTGAGCTAGCAAGACAGGCTGGCAGGACGGGAGAGGATTCGTTTGGCTTTTCGTAGTCTCTTTCGCTTATCAATTTTTTCGTCTCTCTCTCTCTCTCTCGCTCTTTCTCTCTCTCTCTCTCTCTCTCACTCTCTCTTTCTCTCTTTCTCTCTCACGACAGACTTTGAGCGCACTTTTTCGGTCCCCTCAAAGCACGTGGGGATGGAATTCACAGACGGAAGGGGCCGAGCTTTTACGATTGAGTGGTACACTCTTGGCGCGAGCTGCACGCGTAGCAAGCAGAAGAATGCTGAAGGGGTAGAAGAGGGTTGTGAGGTAGTGGAATATACAGAGTCGTGAAACTGAAGATGAAAGTTTCGTATTCTTTAATTAAGTAGAAATTCTTCATATAACCTAGCCCTTCCTTGCTTCAATGCGTTTTACGCCTATTTCGAGCATCACTTTAGAAAATTGTCCTACTTAAGAAGGTAAATCGGGTATAATTCGCTTTGGCCCAATAAAGTTCACGTCTCTGTAGTCACATTTAGAAACCGGGACAAATGAATAAAGTAGATAAAGACGAGAAACTGGACTTCCGACTTCTGAGGAGAGACGAAAGACAGAGAGAAAGATAGAGAATACGTGTATGCATCTGTGTATCGGAAAGCAGAGAGAAGACGAAGGGTGTGACGGACAATAGATTAGTTCGGAAAAGAAGACAATATATTCGCCACGATAGATGGGCATGCATAATCTCGTTTCATCATATTTATTAGTTATTACGTCTCAATGATATTCTTAAATGAATATGACACATGAATGAAAACTCGATATAAAGAGGGTTTAAGTATCGCAAATAAGAGTCTCAGAGAAGGAAATCCTTTTAAGCAATATTGATAATTAGGAAATGTACATAAAGAATATCGTCTTGTATTTACATAATAAATATTCCGGTAACTTAGTGTCTTCAATTTTTTATAAAAACTATTCAACAAATAATTTGTTGCAAGTCTGACATTTACACTCCCTCTTTGTAAAATCTTATCATGTCAAAATCTTTGCTGCAATAGTTTTGAACTCACTATCCTTCTCTCTTTTCTTCGTTCACTATTACAATATTTACATTATATATCACGCAAATCTAATTGCAGCTAAAAATCATATAATTTATCGAAAAAAGTTACATGAAGGATATTTTTAAAATGACGCTTTGACATCAACAGAGAAAGTACGACAAGCGCGTCGACTGATACAGAGAAAATCTTAGAAAGCATCTCTTATCGGAAACATTGAAAGAACTCGATCATAAGGAGTGGGTTACTATAAGCTTACTGTCGGCAGGTAAAAATCGTTACGAGTAAAGCGCAAGAACGAACGAGAATCCTGCTTTCTGTGAGAATCATTGATCATGGTTCTCACGCGAAACACCGCAGAGTAACGGCAATTTCGCGTTGATAACGCGATAATCCTATCAAATTAGCAGGGAGAGCAGCAAACAGCAAAGCACTTGGGCACATGCAAGAGACCCACATGCAAAGTGAATTCGACGCACATACACATACACGCGTTGCGTACGCGCGCGCGTGTACGTGCGTATGCGATCACCGTCGGACTTCTGGGTGAAGCAAAGTACGTTTATAATGCATCGACGATACTTGGATACTTGATAGTCGCGTCTGTCGTCATACCGGGTAGCACGTCACGAATGATCCGCCGTGATTCGGTCATAATAATGATGTAGCACAATGCATTGCAACGCATAATTACAGTTGCAACTTGAAGGGACTTTGGCGCAATAGATAGTCGTCTCATCCGCAACGCGCAGCTCCTGCCGACGATTGCGAACGAGCGAGACGTTTATCAATATATAGTATATGTATATATATATATGTATATAGAAATGCAGAGCAAAGAGAGGATACGAGAATAAAAAGTAGTCAATAATAAATTGGAAATATATATATGTATAATATATATGGCTCGCCGGAAAGAGGGAGACTTACCGGATCTGGCGGAAGTCTGTAGTCTGCGGATATCTCGCTGCTCGCGCTACGCTCCTCGGTCGATCTTTCCCAGTCCATTTCTTTTTTCAGGGACTGCAATGGAAAAGTGCATCCAGTTTATATCCAGGTAATAAATATACAATAAACGAGTGATATCGAGATCACGGTTGTCATACGGCGCTATCGACAGATAGCATCGAAATTATTGTCGGTTTCCTTTCTGCATAGTAATTGCAACGTTCGTCATCAATGTTTCAAGAACATTGAATGCACATATCTCGCTATCGCAAAATAAAATTGGCAAACGAATAAATTGATTCAAGTACAAAAGCTTCCGTAACAGCATTATTTAATTGTAAACAAGCTAAATACAGAAGAAAATCCCATCAATATTTTTTAAAACATTTTTCACAATCCCCAACGCAAATTTTAATGGTTTAATAGATTTTTTGGTCGATTTAAATTTTAAGCTCAATTATATTGAATATCGACGTAATATAACCGATTGACATTTTATCGATACTCGAAGTTACAAGATACTTAAACAACTTATTTTCTAATGTATCTGGGCAAGCAAGATTCAACACAGATCTGCAAATATATCAAAGTTCTTACATGAATATGTAATATTTAAATTAATATATAATCATTCAATGTACATACATGGAAGATCTATTTGATTACCCTAAACTTTTTAAGCTCAATTCATATCATTCCTCTTCCTGCTCGATATCGAAGATAAATATTACGTCAGCTAAGATTGTTTCTAAGTTCACTGGATCCTACTTGCCCGGATCAGGATGGAATTTCCCCTCAAAGATTAATCTCATTGTTACTTACTAGCGGAACTTGCTGGACCGGGGGTAAGCCCGAGGGGCCGGCGAGGGGCTCGGTACTGTGCGGGGACGGAAGCCGGCTCTGCGGCAGGTTTAACGGTAGCACGCCACCAGGCGCGCCGCCGCCGGTGTTGTTACTGAGGCTCATGTCGGATGGTCCGCTGTGCACCGAAATCGGGCTGAGAGAGCCGGCCCTCGTCTCTTCGAGGCTGGCCGCATCCTCGGAGTCCCTCCTGGGTCGGTCAAGGGCCAACGGTCCCGGGCACGGACTACCGGGCCCCGCGGGCGACGGCGGACAATCCGTCATGTCCACCGCATCCACAATTTCGCTGGGGGTGTTCTGTACAATGCTGCTGGATTGCTGCTGTTGCTGCTGTTGTTGCTGTTGCTGCTCGCATTCCTTAACACCGGCCGACACTCCTGTGGTGACGTTCGATTCCCGTTCCCTCTCCTTGCCGCTCGTCTCTTTTATACTCTCCCGATCTCGTTCTCGTTCTCGTTCTCGTTCACGTTCACGTTCTCGTTCTCGTTCTCGGTCTCGGTCTCGTTCTCGTTCCCGTTCTCGTTCTCGTTCTCGTTCTCGATGATGCTCTCGTGATGTATCGGAGGTGCTTGTGTGTTGTTGTTGTTGTTGCTGCTGCTGCTGTTGCTGCTGCTGCTGTTGTTGCTGTTCTTCCCTGGATGCTACCGCCGCGTTGATGTTCGTCATGTCCGCTAGACCCTTAACCTTGAGGCTCTCCGCTGTCTTGAGGAGGGCCGATAACTGGCAGTACTCGACGTTTACCTCGCCCTTGTACATGAAGTCGACGAGGGTACGTAGCTCGGCGAAACGTACGTCCTTTAGGATAACGATGGGGTGACGGTTCGGATGGTCGAGGAACAGGGCCTGGAAGTAGCTGGAGCACGCGGAGAGGACTACCTTGTGTGCGCGTATCGACGGTCCCTCCGTGCACGCCAGTGTCACGTCCACCAGCGACTCCGACTCCAGCAGTTGACTGAACACACCCAGCAAGTTGCTCTGATGATTGTTCCACCTCAGGCAGTAATGCTCACTTCCCATGTCTGAACTGCACCCCGCAACCCTGCTATATAAGAAAGACTTGTACCTTCCGGTACTCGTAGCCACTAGCGTTTCTTAACAATGTACCGCGTCACGTGGCCCAGATATCGCGACTTCTTCGGCTATATAGTTGACACAACAGAGCGAGATATTCCGCATAGGAAAATATTAATAAAGAAGTAATTTCATCTCTGTCAAAATTAAATGTTATATCTTTTCGTAGTTTTTAAATTTTATTGAAGTTAAATAGTTTGGTAATTACGCGGGATTCAAGTTTTTCTTATTAGGCCGGTTCTACAATCAGTCGTATGTTGAATGTCGGAACGCAGTCGATGGTCCAATGAGAGAATTTCTTTTTCAAAAACGAATTTTTCTCGTTGGACCATCGGCTGCGTTTCGACATCCGACTCCGACATACGACTGATTGTAGAACCGGCCTTGAAATTTGTTTAAGAAAACTCGTAAAAAGTTTTGTTACCTATAAAAAATTCTAAATTCAATTTTCTAACACTCCCAAGTTAAACATCTTCTTGATTACAACAAAAAAATATTCATGTCTCGATCACTTTTTGTCGAGGAAAGATCATTTCGATTTTCCGCAAGGAATAATCGTCACGCGAAACATTTTACATTTTAACGACCCGATGAAAGGTGCGTGCGAGCGACGTGAGTAATGCGATTCTTTTGACGCGTAATCGCGGTGTATAATTCAAAGAGCGTTTCTGTTTTGCAACATATCGACGCACCGTCGCATCACACCAACACACTCTTGCGAATGCATAAGCACACCCGTCGTCGGTGCGTCCAAACACATCCGGAGATGCACGACCGATATCAGCTGACCGATACGGGCTTATCTTTTATTATTCCTTCTCCCGCGTTCGACTTTATTTATTGCTGCTGCCTAATGCGTGAAACGGCGCACACGCACGTGTCGCGACATATGCGCAACCCGGCGAGCGACACGCACACACATAATTATGCCGAAGCGTTATTCGCGTAAACGTGCATTCGCGTGATATATCCGTGGATATATGCGCGATGGCGTGTATGTACCCGCTGTACGATACTCGCGTGATTCGTTTGGCTCCCGCGATATTACGGCGGTGCATGACAGAACCTCCATCATATATACGGTGCTCCGAAACTCTGTCTCCGATTATTTCAAGAAAATTCTAAGCTCCAAACTTCTTCATTGAAATCTTATCGAGACAGAGCTTAGTTTAAGCATATGTTATAAATAATTAAAAATAAAAAGGTTCATACAAATTATTCAATTATGAAATTTCAAGTAATGAAACGTAGCCGTACAAATTCCAAAAATTAAATTCTCCCTTTATAGAATTATTTGAGATTTAGTTAAAAAGAAAAATTATACTGATCTATTTATTATATAAAGACTGAGCTCTCTGAACGGTGGAAAATCGACAACTGGGAGATCAAGCGGATATCTCCTTTATACTTTGACGCCGCTTTATATCGTTCGGCCAATTACGCTGCAGTCTGTGCGAAGTTACTGTATCGCGAATTGGAGGGAAGCAATGTCGAAGCGCGAATAATCAGTTTTCGAGCGTTTTAAAACAGAGGTTCGCGCACAGCGCGCATTCAGGCTTCAGATAAATTGCACCTGTCAATGCACCGGGACGGTTATAGGAATTACCTGTACTCTCGCCGGCTAAATATAGCGTCGATACGGTCGTTACGCATTGATTTCATCGTTTTACGGCTATAACGTCGGTTGTTACCGGAACCTTCGAAACTTTTTTTTTTCGCCGGAAGCGCTAGAGGCCCGTTAAGCGGTAAACTTTATTTGCCAACTTGCATCAAGTAATTTTCATTAAAGATGTAACGACAATCTTGTCGTGAAGTATCGATTGATATGTTTACAAGCTTAACGCTTTCAACTCATATTTCATATCATATCCCTGTGAAATGAATTTATTTACGACGAGTTTGAAATAACATCCTCGATGTTTATAAATTGCAAACTCCATAATTACTATTTATAATACAAATCTGTAATAATAATTTAATGTAAATATACCGGAATATAGAATGCACATATAACACATGTAATGACAATTTATATAATTTATAGTAATGCAAATAATAATAATGCTACACGTATGGGAATATTATACGCAATTCCTGTTTAATAAAGTATTATTATCAAGATCATGAGGATCCATCTATATTCATACCTAAAAATTAAAAAAAAACATGCAAAAACAAAAGAAACAATGTTAAATAATTTTTTTGCCGAGCCTAAGCCTGCAGCTAGCGCACTTTTTCCTGTAATAATTACGCGTTACGTGATTACATCCGATATAGCTGTTCTCGAGCATGTAAACGCCGAGCATAAAACACGTTGCGCATCGATCGCGGAATACATTGCCGTATTAAGTATATAAAAAAAAAGAAGAAGGTGACAAATCTTGCATCATTCGCGCGCGCTTCCCGGTGGTTTATCTTTCGCAAATACAGAAATCGCCTGATTTAATCCAGTGAAGATGTGAACGCGCACGCCACGAAACGCCGCTGCGGCTTCCCGCTCTTTTTCCGCGCAATAAACACCACAGCGGGTTCTCTCTCGCCGCGCTTTACAAACTTTATTCACAAGTACTAGTTTCAGCGAAATCGCTTAATAGCGAAAGTTAAGAACCCAAAGTGGATGTACATATCTATGGACGCTCGTGCAGTGAATGGAGTGCAACCGTATAGTGGCGCACAATCCTAAGTACGTTCAAGTCCAATCAAATGTTTACTCTCATTTAAATTGTTACGCATACTTCTCCGCTGTTTAGTGTCATCATAATTTTTATTATTATTCTACTTCATTCTCTTGATTTCATTATGCGATACTTCAATGTTGAGAGATAATCTGTTTTCAAATCTTCATACTTAATGTATAACATACTTCATACATAATAGTAATCACTTATTGTTAGAGTCCTCGAAAAAATCTCGTCCATTACTGTTAAAAAATTTTCTCGATATACAATAAAATGTTTTACTGTTTATCTTCTATACGCAACAATCTGATTGCTTGTCACCAAAGACTCCTTCTCGTCTGATAGCCTGTATTTATAATCGTATATATTATCAATATAAAATCGAAATCGATATGAAGATATCTGACGATGTTTATCTCTCAGGCGGTCGGCGCCCTGCCAATGGCAACCATTTCGTCGCCGATGTCGATGTTTATATCGAACGACTACTGAAATTTTTGTTACTGTTAGAGAATCTAGATATTTCACTACTTTTTCTGAATTGACGTTTCTTTAAAGACTAGTATATAAACGTAAATTTTAATGATTAAAAAGAAATATATTCATATTAGATCATTTAAAATAAAGTTATTAAAGATTATTTTCTGTTTTATAGAAAGAGAGTTTTAGATAAGCTATACAGAGATACACAAAATGTCACACAAGTCATTCGTACATGATATTTTTCTATCTGTAAATTCCTTGACAGTGAAAAAATTGATTGATAACCATACGACCGACATCCTATTTAAATTATTAAATAGACTCATTTCCCGAGACTTTCTCCGGTTCCCAGATTTCCAGGTTTTTAACAACGATTGTACTACAGGCGTGATTGTTTCCTTTCTGTGCTGCGTGTACTTAATTTTCCTGCATGATTTTTCTACGGAGGTTCGCGATAGCCGCGGTGCGCGGCGGCGCGTATTGTTACGTAAGTCGATACGGCCCACACGCCGCCGTTATTTATGTCATTTCAGAGGTTTTCTTTGGGTCAATCCGTTTACGAACAATATGCACATGCAGTTCACGATGCGAGAGCATCGAGAATGATCGCTCGCATTTTTCTTTGTGTCTGATGTAAATTTGTCTTTGAAATAGCGAATGACAGTATAGAATTATACGGGTCTTATCGCATTGTCTCGACGCATAAAATTAAATTTTACACTCTGATCTAACGAAAAGATAGGCTAGTCTAATCTTTTAACAAATATAGAAATCAAATGCACAAAAGTATCAAAAATATTTTGCAAAATTAGAAAATAATTATATTTAGTACTAATTACAAAAATAATTTATCAAATGATAATTTTTATACTGTGTGCAGACTGTCAAATTTAATTAGACTTGTAATTTTAAAAAGTACCTAATAATAATTTAAATGTGATTGTCATACTATGACATAAATGATTTGTCTCAATCTTAAACTTGGCAAGATATATCTAAGTAAGATATATTTCTTTGTTGGCTACCTTGTCTCATAATTTCTTGTTTACAATCAAAATGTCGTTTTAAAATGCCAGGTTTAAATTAGATTTGTATATAAAAATATTAATACAGTTATTTTCTATAATTATTACTATATCTTCTGTATAAAAAAGTTTATTTCAGAATTGTATTTAAAAAAACAAAAATTGTATATTTCTTCCACCTTACATTCTCAATTATAATATAATTCTAAGCTAACACAGTCCTAACTTTAATTAAATTTAGAAAATTATGAATAATCCATCTTGTAATTTTTATATACAATATCTTTACGGAAAGTCTTCCCGAACGTCTGGAAGAAATCGTGAAATCGCGATAGGAGAAATTGATCGAGCCGATGGGAGGTCCATTTTCGCCGCATAAATTGCAAGATTACAGCGTTCCTCTTGCATGCGCGATCCGCGTGGTAAAATTAGCCGATGCTACCGGCGGCGGTGCGGCAAAAATTCGCGGCCATGCGTTAACGCGCGCGTGTGTGCAAGCGCGTGGGTGACGCGCGCGCGTGTTCATACGTGCGTATACATAGCCGACCCGCTGTCCGCGATTGCGCACGTTGTACGCACGATTCGTCGTGGCGCGTGTTAATTGATACGCGTTCGCAAGTACGTGTGTGCGCGAGAGCGTGGGACGGATAACGCTGGCGAACGTCGAGATATCGGTCGGTCGGCTTAACCCTCCGAATGAGAGAAATGAATGCGACTCGCTTTGCGAATTTTCTTTCATCGCCTGACATGTTTCGCAAAGTTTCGCAATAATCTGTTCGTTGCGTGTGTTCGGTAATACACACATTCGATGCATCCGATAATATTCCATATAAAAAAAAAATAATAAAAATGTTTCCTAACACAAGATATCTATAATAGATACGAGATTTCGCGTTTTGATTATGAGGTTTCAGTGATACACGTTTCGAACATTTATAAAACAAATCTTACTTTAAATCTTAAGTGAACTCTTTCTATAAAACTGCTATAAAACTACTATAAAATATTATGCTTTCGCAATACAATTATCAAAGTATTCAATGTTAAACATTTAATAATTTTATAGAATATTTTTAAAATATCGAAATTTTTGCATATTTATGCAATTTATATTATCGACCGATCCAAGGAAAAATTTAAAAATATACACAATTATGCCTCTTTGGCGCAATTTAGATAACTACGAAATACTAAACACGAAGCATTGTGTGCATCCATTTCTCCTAGAAAATCGAAGTATCGTCTCATGAAGCGGAACGAGATTACGATCAAATTGATACCATCGGAAACGTAATCGTCGTTGGGTGCATAGTTGAAAATATTTCAGGTCCGTCCCTGGTTTGCGTCAAGTGCGTCTTACGAAATCACGCGTTCCGTATCGCTGCGGCCGCACGCACGCGCGACTCGCAGATGCGCGTCACGATCGACACGCGCAGATTTTCCGCAAACAGCACGAATGCACGGACGACGGGTGAAACACGCGCGCATCGCGCTGGGAAGCGTGAGAGAATTATTTTTTCTTTTTTCTTCTTTTCTTTTTTTTTTTTTCATTCTGCGAAATCATTACGGAGTACAATACCGACGGTACTCCTTTCAGCGATATGCAACGACGCGTGCGTTTTTACAAATTGTACAATATAGTGTATTTTAGTATCGGTGGCACACCTAACTAGGAAGCAACTTAAACTCCTGTTTATATGTAACGAAAAAATCTGTTAAAGATAAGGATTTCTTTCGAGAAATGTAAATGCTCAAATCCTCGTGCATTTTCCGCTTCTTTTCATTAACAGAATTACTGTATATATTTGTAGCGATTTTTTGTTTTAGTACATATTTTACGTTTTTAAAAATATTATTCTATAAAAAATTGTCCTGTTCACAGAAATAAACTGAGAATAACCTGCTTTAATATAATCATTTCCTCCTCT